TTCTGGATGCAGCGAACAAATACATTCCACACACCTCTGGATGCCTCGTCGCTGTACCTTGTTGGAACGACGAGCGTCGCGACGCCATTCGCGCACGTCGGAGGGCTTCTAGGGTTTTCGACGGGCACATCAATTCATTAAACCTCATGGTTTTCAGGCAAGCACGCGCGGCCGCACGCCGCACTATACGAGAGGCGAAACGTGTATCATGGAGCAGCTACGTCAATTCACTGAATCGCCACACGCCGACGTCACATGTACGAGACAGCATTAAAAGAATCGCTGGATTGCACCCACCAATCTCACTTCCCGTACTGCTAGTGAGAAATCAAAACATCACTCACCCAAGTGATGTCGCGATGCCATTGGGGAAGCCTTGTCAGACCGTTGCCGAAATGGTACCTGCGATCCACGGTTTTTGAGACACAGGGCGCGATGCGCCACTCCGCAAGTTAGTTTTCATACAGGTGACATACTGACGTAAAACAAACATTTCACTATGATGGAACTTCGCGCGGTCATTCGCTCACTGCGTAGCGTTGCGGAGGGGCCCAACCTCATCCACAGTGACATGATGCGGCATTTTCTTTCTCGCATACTACGAGCCCTGCTGGCACTTTTCAACTGGATGTGGGAGTCAGGTAGCTTTCCGCCAACCTGGCGAGAGGCCATAGTGGTGCCTATTTTAAAGCCCAGGGAAGGTGAAACGAACACCCTTGACTATCGCCCGATCGCCCTTACATCCTCGCTTCGTATACTCATGAAAAAGATGGTGAATAAGCGGCTCTCATGTTTTTTAGAAAGTCAAAACTTTTTTAAGAATGCTTAGTGTGGATTCCGTAAGAACAGGAGCACGGCTGACCACATTTCACTCCTTAATACCGCAGAGCGGGCCGGGTTTATTAATAAACGTCATACCGATGCCATCTTTTTTCACGTAGACAAAAAAAACTTATGATACCATATGGAGACATGACATTTTGATGACGTTGTTCGGTTGTGGCACCCGCGGTCACATGGGAAAGTTTTAACAAAACTTTGTGACTGACAGATTCTTTCGGGTGCGAGCTGGTTTTTATCACTCCAACGGCATCCGTGGGACAATGGTGTGCCTCAGGGCCGCGTTTCAAGTGCCATTCTTTCCGCAGTGATGATAAACGATACTGGGGGCACACTTCCACATGGCATCAGCCGTTCTCTGTTCGTAGACGACTTTGCTGTTTGGTGTAGCTTATCGGCCACTCGCACGATGGAGCGACAGCTGCAGCTGACATTCACACGCCCAGAGAAGTGGAGTGCGATCAACAGGTTCCGGTTTTCCACACCGAAGACAACTGCAGTTCATTTCTGTCGTCGTCGCCGTCGCTGTCCTTAAGTGTGAATCAGGCTGTATGGGCAACGCGTCGCCATTGAGAATGCTGAAGAATTTCTCGACGTACGATTTGACCGATGGCTAACATACCGGAAGCACATAAGAAATCTCCGCGACAAATGTCCAAAATCCTTTAACATCCTAAGGTGCGTAGGACGCACATCATACGGTGCTGATAGGAGGACGCTCGCACTACTGTACCGTTCGCTGATTCGTTCAAAACTTGACTACGGCTGTTTTATCTCTGACGGTACATCAGACCTGATCAAATGTACTCTGAACACGGTGCACCACGCCGCACTACGCATCGCCACAGTAGTTTTTCGGACATCGCCCATAGATAGTATTCTGATGGAGGCCAACCAGCCCCCACTAGCATTGCGAAGGCAGATGCTGGGACTACGCTACACGTGCAAGCTGACACAGTTCCCAGATCATCCCACCTACAAAGCAGTGTTCTGCGTAGCTTACGAAGACTATTTCTACTTCAACGGTCACCACAAACTTCTCCCTTATGTGTAAGAGTGTGAGAACCTCTAGACGCGAGCGGCTTGAACCTACGACGTATCATCAAACCTAAACCCATGAAGACTGATCCTTGGGAGCTAGCATCGCCAAGAATGGATGTTTCGCTATCAAACATGCAAAAGCAACGCGTTCTCGTGGCGGAACTTATGACGGATGCAGGTTTAGAATGCGCTTTTGTGTGTGGATCCACAACACGGCCATTCACACTGCCTGCGCACGCGTTGGTGTTCACGTCTGAGCTTATAGCCATCAGCAAACTTCTCTGTTTTATTGAAGTAGACGATAGCAATTTGCATTTTATTCTTTCCGACTCCTTGAGCAGCCTCCTGGTTGTTGGTGGCCTCTCCTCGTCGAATACACTGGTCCAGGGCATTCAATCATGTCTTAGCTCACTGGATCGAGCAGGAATAGCAGTCATACTGTGTTGGGTCCCGAGTCACGTGGGGATCTGCGGAAATGATCTTGCTGACGCGGCAGGAAAGCGCGCTACGACAGGGACACGCATTCCTACAGCAACACTACCAGCTCAAAACATGTACCCCGCAGTGTCGACGTTTATGCAGAAGCGATGGCAGTTCCACCGGAACTCGCTGAGCGCCAACAAGCTGAAGTCCATGAAACCCCGCATTGGACTATGGCAGTCGTGTTTTCGCGACAAGAGGAGGGAGAAAGTTGCCCTTTGCTGGTTACGCATAGGCAACACATATGCTACGCACCGCCATCTGCTATTGGCTGGCGACAGACCATGCTGCAGTCGATGCTCTGACCCGGCGACCGAGCATCACGTACCCGTCAGTTGCCGTCACCTTACTGCAACTAGAGTCCCGTTTTTCGGACACAGCGCTCAGAGTCGCACGCTGTCACTTTTTAGGGGATTGCTCGCATGCTATCGAGCTTAGTAGAGTGTTCCAGTTTCCTCGCGCTGTAGATGTCCCAATAATTTTTTCATCATGACGCCAGGCCTGATCGTCAAGGCTTTATAGGGTGACCTGGTTGATATACCTGTCTGATTTGCGTCTCTGCATATAATGATAGTTATGGGCGCTGCATGACCTACAGCAGTCAATGCGCCCCAAAACCCCAAATCATCATCATCATCACGGTGGCGGCGGCGGCTGCGGCGGCATCCGAAGGCCCGTGCTACGAACCGCTGAAGGTGGGCTCTTGCAAGGCCGGCATCCCCCGCTGGCACTTCTCCGCCTGGCGCACCTGCCTGCCGTTCGTCTGGGGCCGCCGCAGCGCGGGCGGCAACAGCTTCGCGACAGGAGGTTATCGCAACCCCTTATGTTCGTAGCCACTAATGCATCATCGTGCCTAATGATCAAAACACCTGATGTATCACAACCAGTTATGACCTTCATTGTCTCAAGGCGTCTAAAATTCAGACCTGCTAACGTATCATAAAGCCTAGCGCTCATAACCCCTGATATATATTATAAGCCCTGGAGTGTCACTGAACCTAGGGAATCAAAAGACCTGGTGTATCAAATCACTTCATGTTTCACAGTTCGTAATGTGTCGCAACTCCTGATGCATCGCAACTCCTTATAGATCATAAGACTGAACAGTGACCGCGAAGGCAGCAAGACCCGCTTCGAGAGCATTGCGCACTGCGAGTGAGCGTGGAAGTCGCGCCACTGAATTTATCTCACTGGTCAGTGACCTTCCGTTCGGCCGTGGTAGGGTTATGGACACGGGAGTCGCGGGCCGCCATTCTCGATCTGTGTGAGTTGTGAACAGCAAGCGTCGCTCCGAACGGGAAGTTCTGTGCTAGCTGTCCGGCACTAGAACATCTTGTCGCGCACGGCCCGAGTGAAGTGAGCTGGAGCTCCCCGACTAAAAAGGGGCCTATACCTGAGAGACCCTAATATGAGAGCCAAGCGGTATCAGTTGATACCGATTTATTGCATTCATGCAGCGAAACACCAACTTTGTGGTCAATTCAAAACGGTTGATGACTTTCAAACCGTTGCTCAGGTGAATGAGACGGGACAAATACATTTGCATCTAATCCATCGCAAAAACCACACTATCCGAAATGTCAAGCAGAGATGTCTCAGAAAAGTGTCGGGGTTGGAAAGTGTGCTGATGTTTTTTTCCGCAGCATAACATGACACAACTCGCTGGTGAATTAACCGACCCAACAGCTGTAATCACTGGTGGCATGGTTGTCCTGACCCTGGTGTTCGTCTGGTGTGCTAGTATGTATACCGCATTTCGGCCAGTCACTACTCCGGTAACCTAGCCCCACCAGTTTGGGAAGGATTAGAAAGTGTTCGGCATTCAGCAATATACACGTCGCAACCTGACATTTATCCTTGAAATTGCTAGAGCCTGAATAGTGGTCTTCTAAGTAGGAGTTGTAGCGCTCTGGCACTGAGCTGACCTGCAAAAGTGGTAGAATGCTGGGCTTGTGATTATCAGACCCCGGATCAAATCCCGGGAATTCCTAGCAGAAAATTTGGGCTTTAACGCGCACACGGCTGAAAGCCGAACACCTAGCAGTCCTCAGGGCTCTAGAATGCCTGGCCATTACCTGAGAATTACCTGACCGAAATGTGCATATATAAACACACTGGGACAAGCACGCTAAACCGAACATTTACTCCATCCGTGACATTGATGCTCAGCATTAATCATGCCGCAAGACTGTTATAGCCCCTCGCACCCCGCTTCTCACAGGGGGTCTTTCTACTGGTATAGTTCTTGGTTCAGTTTACGTGCAGGCTGGCCGACATTCAAGAATGCCTGATCGAAATGAACACCACCCCTTCCAAAATACGCCCTCCCCTATCCTTTCCCCATCATGGTGTTTGAATGCAGAGCGTTACAAAATGCTCGTATTGCAAAGATGAGTAGACATTTCGCATTTACACCTAGTTTACCGCACAGCTGTGCTCATTTTAGCTTCCCCGTCAGCCGGCGCCCTTCATTCTGGCACCTTCACACCGCCATGCGCATCGGAAATTCCCGACCGCCGAGGCTTCGTGACGTCACACCGCCGCCGGCACTGGCCGGGCCGTCTCGCGAGCGCCCGATCCCACCTGTCATAGGCCAGTGTTGCGCCGCCGTCAGACAGTCTCCCTCACGGTCGGGCGCGATGCGGGCGTGCGCTGTGCTGCTCTGCGGCCTGTCCGTGGTGGTGGGCGGTTACTGGGGCGACCCGTGTCGGGAGCCACTGAAGGTGGGGCCGTGCGAGGCTCTGGTGAATCGCTATTACTTCTCTGCCGCGGCGGGCACGTGCCTGCCATTCTTCTGGGGCGGCTGCCAGGCGAACGGCAACAATTTCGAAACGATATCACAATGCAGTGCTCAGTGCTGTGGTGGCGGCTGTGGGAGGCCGAGCTTCTGCTCGCTGCCGGCAGACGCTGGTCCCTGCGAGGCCCTCATCCCCAGCTACTACTTCGACGGGAAAAGCTGCCGCAAGTTCGATTACGGTGGCTGCGAGGGTAACAACAACCGCTTCGATAACATAGAGCAGTGCAAGAAAGTTTGCAAGTCTCATCGCTGAGCGTCTGGCGGGAGGCCTGCCATCTGGCGGTGACCGGCGTCAACAATCGCCGCCCACCTCGGAGCCAGTGCAAGATCCGGAGAGATCTTCCCGTCAGTGGCTTGGGCTGTCAAATAACGTTACGCGTCCAGCCGCATGCATTCTTGAACTTTGTGTTATTGCGAGTGTAAACAGCTGTCGACAGAACGTGCCTATTCGGTTTGTTCCGTCCTGCCTGTCACATTTCAAGCACTATGTTTTGCACTGTCAAAAGCTTTAGTACGTTAACTTAGCTCTGTGCTGAATGAACAAATACATCTTGAGGGTTCATAACTACGTTTGATAACTTCGTTCATAAAATGCCGGAGTGAGCACGATGGATGATCAGGTGGCGATGGATGATCATGGCTCCATTCACAGCATGCAAGCACCTATTCCTGCATCATCACGTAAATTCTTCCTCTTCACTCATCACTAACCGCCTCATCCTGTAGTTCCGCATCATACCATCTCTCCGAGCCAAGCTACGGCGAGCAGTCTAAGCCGGCTGAAGTGCCTTCCCGACCGGATCTTCGCCGGTCTCGGCAGCCTCGGCAGCGGACGCTTCCCAAATGGGGCCATCTTGACCGCACATCTCTCCAAGTCCCGTAGCCCTGGAATGCCCACTGTGGGCCGCAGCAATCTGTGTACCAAACCAAACCAACCATGGCCGCATCGCAGATGCGTCCATGCTCAGTTTGGTAGATATTTATTCATCTTCGGCAAAAATGCGCACAGGTTACGAGGAATGTTGTACGCACACTACACCACTTGGCATCCGGATCTATATTTGTAAAGCCAACCATAGATAATAGCGCAACTATGTCTTCCGTACTGACATCTCCCTTACCCCGCCACAAACGTCGCCCATCTCACCCAACGCATCGTAACATCACCAACCGACCGGCCTTAGTCTTGTCGGCCCCGCTGTCTAACGCTCCTAAAGCCGACCTTCCGCTCGCCCTACCCTCGCTGCGGTTCGTTCCGGGCAGTTCCAGCGGTGGTGAGGCACGACGCGCCGATCGTCACACCCATCGCGCGGCGGCGCGGCGCCAGGCCGCGGGCTGTGCTCCTCTGCATGGTGGCGGCGGCGGCCGTGGCGACACCCGGAGACCCGTTCTCCGTGAAGGTGGGCTCTTGCAAGGCTTGCATAACCCGCTGGTACTTCCCCGCCCGACGTGCCTGCTTGCCGTTTTTATGGGGCGGCTACGATGCGAATGGCAACAAATTCGCGGCGAGGGATTATCACAATTCCTAATGTTCATAAGAACTAATGCATTATTGGACCTAATGTTCCAAACACCTAATATATTGCACCCATTAATGTGGCATGGCCTGCAGTATATCACAGCATCTAAAGTTCAGAACTCCTAACGTATCATGAAGCTAATGCATCATTGCATTATTGCACCTACTGTTACAAACACAAAATGCATTACAACCATTAATGTGTCATGGCGTCCAGTTTATCATAGCATCTCAAGTTTAGAACTCCTAATGTATCATAAAGCCTAACGTTCATAATCTCCGATATATGAGGACCCCAAAAGTGTCACTGCTCGTAATGAATTATAAGGCATAATGCATCATATCGCCTAATGTTTCACAGCTCCTACTGTACCGCAACTCCAAATGCATCGCAGCTCCTGATAGATCATAGCACCGAACGGTGACTGCGAAGGCAACAAGGAGCTCTCCGAAAGCATTGCGTGCTGCAAGTGGACGTGGAAGTCGCGCCACTGAGTTTATCTCGCTAGTCGGCGACCTTCCGTACGACTGTGGCAGGGTTATGGACACAGGAGTCGCAGGTCGCCATCTTGGATCCATGTGAGTTACGAGCAGTAGGCGTCGCTCTGCATGGGAAAATCGGTGTTGGCTGTCCGGCACTAGAACCTCTTGTAGCGCGCACGGCCGCGGTTTGGGAAGCTGGAGCTCCCTAATGAAAAAGGAATTATACCCCTGGTTGGCAAAGATGGTGAAGAGCAGGGGCTATAGACGAGCTCTGAGAGACCCTGATTGATTGGACGCAGAGCAGAGATTTATTAGTCGGAGAGACAGATGCCTCGTGTTTCGCCAGAAAGATACTTCTGGAACCTAGCGGTGTCAATTGTTACCGGCTCATTACCTTCACGCAGCGAAGCTGCAACTTTGTGTGGCAATTTACAACGACGGATAAATTTCAAACAGCTGCTCGTGTAAATGAGACCGAGCAAATGCATTTCTCTCCAATTCATCTCAAAACCTACACTATCCCAAATGTGATGCAGAGCTGTCTCAGAGGAGTGCCGGGGTCGGAAAGTGTGTAGGTTTTTACTCTGCGACATAACATGACGTAACTCGTTGTTGGACTATCCGACTTAACAGCTTTAATCACTGGTGGAATGATTGTTCGGACTGTGGTCTTCGTCTGGTGTGCTAGTATGTACGCCGCATTTCGACCAGTCAGTGCTCTGGTCTTCATGCCTTACTCAGTTTTGAGAAGGACTGGATAGTGTTCGGCCTTCAGCGATATACGCGTCGCAACCTGAAATTTCTCCTTGAAATTGCTAGAACCTAGACCGGAGTCTTCCGATTACGAGTTAAGCGTTCTGCCACTGAAGTTACTTGTAAAAGTGGCAGAATACTAGGCTCGTGATCATCAGACCCCGATTCGAATATGTCCGACTATGTCCGTGATAGTTCGCGATTTATTCGGCGATTTTTACAGCGAAGAGTTCCAATTTCCCTAAAAATGTCTGCAAGGTCAAATGGGGCATGAAAACTCCAAAAATGACTTATTTTGCAATATCATGTGACCTTCCAGGTCAGAAGCTGGGTCAAAGGACGGGGAACTCGATATCACCCAAAAATTGCCGGCAAATTTTCCACTTGAAAATGTCAGAGCATTCACCACAAAAAGAACTAGCGTCCGTCACAAACTACTAACCTCTCAAGGTCAACCTTCAACGTCAAACGCGGGCTCAAAGAACGGGAGACTCCATATCACCCAAAAATTACCGGTCGATTTTTAACTAACAAACAGCAGAACATTCATCACAGAAAAAGCTAGCGTCCGTCACAAAGTCCTGACCTCTCAAGGTCACCCTTCAAGGTCAAACGCGGGCTCAAATGACGGAAAACTCCATATCACCCAAAAATTACCCTCCGATTTTTAACTAACAAACAGCAGAACGTTCATCACAGAAAGAGCTAGCGCCCGTCAAAAAGTCCTCACCTCTCAAGGTCACCCTTCAAGGTCGAACGCGGGCTCAAAAGACGGGGAACTCCATATCACCTCAAAATTACCGCCCGATTTTTAACTAACAAACATCAGAACATTTACCACAGAAAGAACTAACGTCCGTCAAAAATTCCTGACCTCTCAAGGTCACTCTTCAAGGTCAAACGCGAGCTCAAAGGACGGAGAACCCCATATCACCCAAAGATCAGGCGATTTTTAACCAACAAACAGCAGAACATTCACCACAGAAAGAATTAGCGTCCGTCAAAAAGTGCTCGCCTCTCATGGTCACCTTTCAAGGTCAAATGCGGGCTCAAAGCTTACCGGCCGATTCCTACTTTACAAAGATCGGAACATTCACCACAGAAAGAACTAGCGTCTGTCAAAAGGTCCTGACCCTTCAAAGTCACCATTGGAGGCCAAGCGCGAGCTCAAAGGACGGAAAACTCCATATGACCCAAAAATTTCCGGCCGATT